AACCTTGCTTGTGAGCTGTGGAATGCCATTCAATCGATGCCGATTGTGAAACCGATATGAACCAACACAAATCGATTGTACAATCAGTGGCGGAGCCAGAAATTTGAATGGGGGGGGGCTAAAAAAATATACACTGGATTAGTTTGAACCATGGTCATTGGTGAGGGGGGCTAATGGCTTACCAACTAGTCAATTTTTAGAATTTGTTACACATTTTTCATGTAAATTTACCTATTTTCAAAAGTTGAGGGGGGCTATAGCTAGGGTGTGCAAAAATTCGGTTCACATCGGATCGAACTGTTTATCTTTCAATTCGACTTTGATTCCTGATTTTGGTTAATATTCTGTTTTGGTTTGGTCTAGACCGAAACCATAAAATCAAGCTAAGGATCAGACCGAATTGTAATTAAATGAATTGCCTATTATATTATGCTCCGAGAAGGCAAGTCGACTTGGAGTTGAAAAGTGAAAACCCTACACGACACTTAACTACCTATAAATATAATTGACTTTTCCTGACATAGACTCGTCACTCACGCTCCTATAGTCTTACCCTCAAATTAGGGTTCTCATCGGCATTGCTTCGATCAAGAGAGCTGCTTGCTTGCACTAGTTCTTGGAGTAAGTGTCACTTTGTTAAACTCCTTTCTAATGCCTTGTATCATGTGCTTATATTGCAGAAGAAAATATTTCTAATGGACAAGTGGAAATTCTGGAGATTGGATGGTCCAACGTGCACTGGAAATGAAAATGAAAGATTAGAGAGGCAATTAGTTAGACTACCTTTGGCTTTGAGATTGAATAAAAAGACTAGGACTTTGCTACGGTGACATGCATGTCATGGTGACATGCACTTTTCGGTCGACCTCATATAGGATCAGGTCGACCTAATCAGTTGTTTCAGTGTACAAACAGTTTCATGGTGCCTACTTTGGAGATTCATATCTTACAATTGGCTAGATGGAAATTGGAGATTAAAGGCTTGTTTTGAAGCTGAAGTGTCCCTCTACACATTAAAGTACTTTGGAGCTCAATAGAAAGTCCAGAAGACCATTTTTGAACCTGACCAAAAGGCTATGCCAAAACTGGGAAACTGCCTGAAAATGGCTAAGTCTGGCAACGTGTTTGTCAAGCCTACTTTGGAGCTCAATTTGACAAGCATGGATGCGAGTCAAGTCCAGGGGCCTTTACCATGTTAAATTACGTATTTTTTTTATACAAAGGCAAGGCATTGAATGAAAGATTGAATATATTTAAGGCTTCAAACAAAAGGCTCGAAGTTGCTACGAAGGCTGTTTTTCTGGCAGCTTGCTTGTGCTCGAAGTCTGCCAGAAAAACAGCCTTCGTAGCAACTTCGACCCTTTTGTTTGAAGCCTTAAAGATATCCAATATTTCATCCAATTCCTTGAATTTGTATAAAAACATACCTAATTTAACGTGGTAGAGGCTCCTGGACTCGACTCGCATTCATGCTTCTCGAATTGAGCTCAAAAATAGGCTTCACAAACACGTTTCCAGACTTAGCCATTTCTAGGCAGTTTCCCAGTTTTGGCATAGCCTTTTGATGAGGTTCAAAAATGGTCTTCTGGACTTCCTATCGAGCTCTCAATCACTTCAATATGTAGAGGGACACTCCAGCTTCAAAACAAGTCATTAGTCTTCAATTTCCATCTAGCCAATTGTATGATATGAATATCCAAAGTAGGCACCATGAACTTTTTTTACACTGAAACAACATATTAGGTCGACCGGATCCTATATGAGGTCGACCGAATCCTAAATGAGGTCGACCGGATCCTATATGAGGTCGACCGAATTCTATGTGAGGTCGACCTAATCCTAACTGAGGTCGACCGGAAAGTGCAAGTCACCGTGACATGCATGTCACCGTAGGCACACACAAAAGACTATTGTCTTGTAGTTTAAACAGCAGTTCATGTTTAGCTTTTTACATAGTATTTTGGAACATGTGGTTTTTTAAGAATTGTGTAGTATTAAAATTCGGATAATTTTATTACTTCTTTTGTATAATTACATTTTTTTAATTCTCATGTTGTCCCTTAAGAGTAATTTTATTCTAATGAAAGATTAGTTGGTCCAATGGGATGGTCCAGACAGAAACGAGCTATATATGGTTTGATCCAGACCGAATCGAAGTAATAACGATTCGACTTTGGTTCTTGATTTAGAAGAAATTTTGATCCGGTCCGAAAATAGTTTGGTCCGATCTTGGACCGAATCGACCGATGCCCACCCTGGACTTAATGTGGCTCCTCCACTGTGTACAATACTCAAACTACACCATACTACTTTGTTGAAACGGCATAACGGCATAACCTTCTTATTTACCAATTACCATTGTAGGCAGTTTGTATGAAATAATGCACCCAAGGAGGCCAGGCCATCAAGAATGTCGCTCGCTTCTAAACCACGAACTCTCAACACAGAACTCGAACCGGACAAAATTTAGGATTCTCGACCAACATGAACATGATGTCTTGATATGTATGTACGTGCTTTTATTGGTTTGATTTGAAGAATAATTCAATTAGCCAGCTCGTTACATTTTAATGGCCTTTTCTCTTTGATACAATAATAATTAGCCAGCTAAAGGTTAATATTTTAACGTTGATATAGCCATGAGTCGTAATAGTACTATTATAGTTGTAGTTATTGATTCTACAATTTTGTTCAATAATTTTTTGTAATAGTATAACTACAACTCTCAATTCTTGACACGACATCTTATTCCTTTAGCGGTAATCGTTGGGTTTCAAAATGCAAGCAAAGCCAGCAAGCTAAAAACAATGAGCTAAAGCTATAATAGGATATATAGGATTTGCAAAGAACCGAAGTGGGCAGCGCAATTACCAATCATTCTTCATTTAATCCATCTTTACGGAAGCAAAGGGGTTTCTTTGAGAAAAGTCCAAAGAGCTCTTAAACGTAATTATTGTTCCTCAAAAGTAACTATAATAAAACTAATGATAATAATGTGAAACGTAATTAAGGATTGTATGAAGAAGAAGAAGGGAGAAAAGTGGGTTAGCAAGTCAGCATCAAGATAAAGGGCGCAGCAGATGGACTGGAAAGAAGCCAAAAACAAACAAATTCCATACCTGGCTGGCTCGAGGCTTCACAGCGCCGCCCAGCTAAGCTGAGCTGAGCTGGCAGGGGGAAAAGAAGAAAACGTAGAGCAAAAGTGAAATAAACAAACACCTTCCCCCCACGTAAATACAACACGTTCCTCTAATTGATTTCCGGCTACTCATTCACCTTTTAGACACTAATCTAATCTTTAATAATAATTTCATCCTACTCACTTCGTTTTTTTATTTACTATCTTTTTTCTTATAGAAACATTTATTCACTAATATGAACTATGAGTATGACTCAAAAGTCACACTGCATCCTTTCAATTTGAATTATGATAAACGAGCTAATAAGGCGAAACAAACTAAGGAACAGAAAGACATTGTTTTAATGTAGAGTTATCAAGATAACACTAATTCATGGAAAATGATTTTCTTCTTCTTCATATTTTAGATGTTTTTTTTTTTTTGTATTTCGTTAATCTCATGTTTGCAGCATACAACGGTATGCATATAGGTTTATTAGAACAAATCCTAACTCCAAACTTGCTTATATAGAAAATGGTGATCATAATTAACATCCTTCCTCAAATTGATGTTGGAATTGAAGCATCAATTTGGATGGAAGGTGTCAGTGATTACTAGACCCTACTGACTTAATGAAGATATATGCGGTTTGATCTTTGGTAGGTCCTATTAGACCCTTCTGCTACTAGCTGACGTACATAGTGGAAATGTACCTCAATATAAGAGATTTTGACACTTCGAGTCGTTTGGAAGTTGTGATTGTTTTGTTGAGATTGTTACTATAAATATATTGTTTAAAATGCATCATTTTTTATTTTTTATCAGAAATGTTTCTGATAACGTTGTATTTGCACATGTTTGCACCATCGTTTCTTAACCGTCTCAAAGGAGTGTCTTTCAGGATTCCAATTCTTGAATGGGCTCGTAGTCGCGTGTCTTTGGCCTATTTTACGTTGTGTTGCGTTCTTTAGTCACATTTCAGGTCCCAGACGTCAAAGAAAGGTCTAGGCACAAGTTTCGGGTCGTTTGGAGGTCATTCAGTGCAGCTGGAGCAGAATACGGGCAGCCTCACTCCAGAACACGGTCGTGGTCACTGAGGAGCACGCCGGTGCTTTTTAGTGCGCGAGCCAAAACAATGCCAGGGCAAACACACGGGCGGTCCTGGAATGGATAGTTAGAATGACACATGATTGTATGAGGTTATCGGCCCAAAAATCCAATTCACGTGGCTCACATAATTGATTTAAACTATTTTAACTAAGTTAACATTATAAAGCTATTTAATCTCTTGTATTTAACCGATATGGTACAATGTTAATTTTGTTGTTGTTAACAACAATATTTGACGTCAATAACTAAATGTTGATATTTGAATCCAACAAATAACATCAATAATTAACTTTTGAATTTATAAAAAATATATAAATTAAATTTATTTTTAAAAGTCATTTTGCGTAGATGTCACAAAAAGATCATACCATAGTTAGATCCTCACACTAGACCCTCATTTAGGGATGACAATGGGTTGGGTTTTGTCAAACCCAAACCAAAACCCATGAATTTATCCGTAAAAAAAAATCGAAACCATCATCTACAAACTATAGTTTCCTTTTATAGTCATTTTCAACTAAGGAAGAAGGTGAGCCGAGCCTGGAAAGCCGTAGCGTAGCGGGTGAAGTTTGGCTTTCACTTACATCCAACGCCACCATTTGCACTTTGGTTGTTGGCAACTCGTTACCACTTTCTCTGTGTGTTCATTAAACCAAAAAAAAAAAAAAAAAAACTTAAATACACTCACCGTGAAAAACAAATTGTCCAAAAAATAAATCAGCAGCAGAAAAGAGTAGCAGATGTCCCTGTCTCTGTCATCCCCACTTCCAGCCTGTCCCCTCTCTCTCTCTCTCCTCCTCCTTCCTTCCTCCATTAATCTCTGCTCTGCTTTCTCTCACATCTCCCACTCTGCACCTCTTTTTCCCCCTTTCCTCTCTTCATCTCTCCATTCCGCGTGTCCTTCACTTCCCCTCCGCCTTAACGCAACCTCACCAAATCTCCACCCCTTCTTCTTCTTCTTCTTCCCCAACCCTCTCTTCCATTCCATTCCCAAACCCCAAATCTCCACACTCTGAACTCCCCTTCTCAATTCCGAGCACCATGGGAGGAACTCCCATCTATGGTGTCTCTTCTCTCCTCTCCTTCTTCCTCCTCTTCATTACTTCCACCGTCGCATTGCCCACTCCTTCTCCCCCCAAACCCCACCACCGCCACCACCACTCCCAACCCTCCATTCCCCCCAATTCCACCACCGCCGCCGCCGGCAGCCAAATCAACTCCAACTCCGTCCTCGTCGCCCTCCTCGACTCCCACTACACCGAGCTCGCCGAGCTCGTCGAGAAAGCCCTCCTCCTCCACACCCTCGAGCAGGCCGTCGGCAACCACAACCTGACCATCTTCGCACCCCGCAATGAAGCTCTGGAGCGCCGCCTCGACCCCGAGTTCAAGCGCTTCCTCCTCGAGCCTCGCAACCTCCACTCCCTCCAGACCCTAATCATGGCCCACATTCTCCCCTCCCGGGTCGGATCCCCCGACTGGCCCCAACCCACCGACCCATCTCCCCGCCACCGACACCGCACCCTCTCCTCCCACCACCACCTCCACCTCTCCACCAAGCCCACCGGCCAGAAGACCGTCGACTCCGCCGAAATCGTCCGGCCCGACGACGTCACCCGACCCGACGGAGTCATCCACGGAATCGAGCGCCTCCTCGTCCCTCAATCCGTCCAGGAGGACTTCAATCGCCGTCGGAATCTCAGATCCATCTCCGCCGTCATCCCAGAGGGAGCTCCCGAGGTAGATCCCAGAACCCACCGATTGAAAAAACCCGCGGCGGCGGCAGCAGTACCCGTCGGAGCCCCGCCGGTCCTCCCAATTTACGACGCTCTGGCTCCGGGTCCTTCTCTCGCTCCGGCTCCCGCCCCGGGACCCGGAGGCCCGCACCACCACTTCGACGGGCACAGCCAGGTCAAGGACTTCATCCACACTCTCTTGCATTACGGCGGGTACAACGAAATGGCCGATATCCTCGTCAATTTGACCTCCCTCGCCACGGAGATGGGCCGGCTGGTCTCCGAAGGCTATGTGCTGACTGTCTTGGCGCCGAACGACGAGGCGATGGCGAAGCTGACGACGGACCAGCTGAGCGAACCGGGTGCGCCGGAGCAGATTATTTATTACCATATCATCCCCGAGTATCAGACCGAAGAGAGCATGTACAATGCGGTGAGGAGATTTGGGAAAGTGAAGTACGATACGCTGCGGCTGCCTCACAAGGTCACTGCGCAGGAGGCGGACGGGTCGGTGAAATTCGGGTCGGGTGATGTGTCGGCGTACCTGTTCGACCCGGATATCTACACCGACGGCAGGATTTCGGTTCAGGGGATCGACGGGATCCTGTTCCCGGAGACGGAAGCGGCGGAGCCGCTGAGGAAGCCGGCGAGCCCCGTCAAAGTCGTGACCAAGGCCAGGAGAGGTAATTAGTTGATGTTAAAGTTTGGATACGGAAATTGCCCTGTTCTTACTTCTTAGCTTCCATTAATCTTTCGCCATTGTTGCCTAATCTATTTTACGGCGTAGTAATTAAGGACGGAAAAAGGAGTGGTGGTGTCGGTGGAGAGTGGAGTGGTGAGAAAGGGTCTGGTTTAGGTATAGATTGACTTGGTTTAACAGCTATAACACAACTGTTGCTTGTACAAAAGACCCTTGCTCTAAATTCCCCTATTCCCATTTGCTCATTTCTTAGAAGAAGGAAAAAAGAATTGTGCTTGGTTGTGACGCATAGAATTAGATGCCAAATGTTTCCCAAATTTTTTCAATGGTTCCATCATTGTTAGTTGAATGGCCAAGATGTAAAATTGGAGAATGCATTAGAAAAGAAATCCCCACTAACACTAGGATTTGACGTGGTGAATTGGTGAATAGGTGTTTGTGTTTTTAGTAGGTTGGGAAGCTAATTAATAGGAGGGATTAATTATAACAAGTGAGGCAATTGGGTTTAGGCTGGAGTGATTAAGATGGTGTGATGTGAAAGTGGGTTGGGTCCAAAATTTTGTGAAGCTAAGGCAAATGTGTGAGTGATTGGGAGTGGCCCTTAATTTTTGATTGCGTGGTGAATCCAATCCGGCGATGCCGGTGAGTGGGTTAAGTAGTATTTAAGGTAATGATTGTGGAATTGTAGCGTAAAAGAACCGCTGTTTAAGGTTTTGGTATCCTAGATTTGTAGCTCTGACTGGAGTACGGTAGGGTTCTAAAACATTGCTTTTGAGAAGAAGTAAACCCTAATCAGAAAATTGGGGGGTAAATGCCACATTTGGTCACTGAGATTACTAAATCGTGTCATGTTCAGTCACTAGAAAAATTTAATACCAATTTTGGTCACTTGAATTACTGAAACTGGTCACATTTAGTCATATCCCGTTAGTTTCCGTCCAACTCCATTAAATGTGACAGGTTTCGGTAATTTGTGTGACTAAATGTTGACATGTTTCAGTAACTGGAGTTGGACAAAGGCTACAGGAATGTGACCAAATGTGATCTGTTTCAATAATTCGAGTGAACAAAATTGATATTAAATTTTTCTGGTGACTAATAATCTCAGTGGCATTTACCCCAGAAAATTAGGTGTAAATTAGGGGTTTGGTTTGGTTCCCAGCATGAGCCTGGCTGGCTGGGCGAAGAAAGAAGAAGCCATGTGAAGTGAGAGAAGTGGGTAGAGAGAGAGAGTGTGTGTGTGTTAAGCTTAAGCAAGGTATAGGTCGAGAGGCGAGGCCAGGGAATTCCAAGCTGTGAGCCACAACCAGCCTGTCTCTCTCTCTCTCTCGCTCGCTAGCTGCCCCACACGCAGGACAGAAGCTGCTACCATTATTTCATTAGGAGGAGATAGATAGGTTGATGCCAAAACAGCCCTCTTCTACTAATTCCTTCCTTGTTCATTCAACCATTACTTTTGTCCACTTCCCTTCCCCCACTATCATATCATATGCTCTTCTGTGCTTGCAAAATTCCATTCCCACTCCCTTTGTCACTTTTACAATAATATAATATAGTGTCTAATTGTGAGTTATTAGTATTTGGAAAGAAATATAGTATAGTTTGGGCGGTGGTGTGGCATGCCATCAACATAACATGGTTGGGTTTGCTTCTGGAGCTCTGTTTTGCTATTATTTGTCTGTCATCAAATCATATTGACTGCACATTTTGTTGTTCTTGTTGTGTTTGTATTGTTGCTCTGTAAGTGAAGTGATTTGGGTTATATAACAAAATAGTAACATGGATGGTTGACTAACATTAATAAGTTTATTACTTACCGTTGCAGGGAAATTGATGGAGGTGGCCTGCAGAGTGATCGGCTCTTATTTCGCCGCTTCTTCCTGTCAATGAACATACAGCAAACTCTTCTTTCCCTTTTCCCCCATTTATTTTCTCTCTTCAAAAAGAAAAAAAAAACAAAATACAAGTGGGGGAGCCATTGGATGAAAAAATAGAGAAACTGGTAAGTCCCGTGACAAGATTTTTTTTTATACAAGGCTTTACTACTGTCATTTCTGGGTTTCAACAGGGGTTATTTAGTAATTAGCTGATTGTCGTCTTCTTGTTCATTGGCAGGTAGAAAGAAAGACTTTTGTGTAGAAGAAGAAGAAGGGAAACATGATGGTAATAATAAACAAGGGGAAGGGCTCATGTTGAAGGCCTTTTTTTACCCCTGATGAGATTATATATATATATTACTATTACTATTATGTGAAAGCGAGCATAGAGGGTTTTGAGTGGTGCTTGTATTTTGTCTGTCCAAAAAAAAAAAAAAGTTACTGTAATTACATACTTGGTCGTGTCATTTTTTCAATTAATTCTTTCTTCTTTCTCAGTTTGGAAAATTCTTACTCTTTTGTGTATTCTCTTCTATTCATCGACCCATCCAGCAGTTTCACTTTGGTTACGACTTTTACTGTATGTATCGGTAAAAAAGCGCCGGTTTACACCAGAATTTCCCCCGTCGTCCCTCGTCTTCCTTTCTCTTCGCGGTCTCTGGTTCACCAATTAGTTTAATTGGTTCTGTCACTGTTCGGTCAATCACGGGTTTGTGCTGGCTTTTTATTTTTATTTTATGTTTTCATTGCAGACCAGACCACACATACATTATTAATTCAACTATTATTCATTTCTTCCTTTCTTTCTTCTGCTGCTTCACAAGACCCTTTATTATTTTATTTGCTTTTGGGAATCTGTGAGATTGTCGGTGAGCAATGTGGTGGATCCTACTTATTATTGGTATTACTATTACACACGGGAATAAATTATGCATAAAATGCTTTATATAACAGGGAAGAGGAGAAGAAGAAAGGGAAAGGGAAGGTGGAGAATGGTGGTTGTAAGTAATGTCTCGTATTGTTCCTTGCATTGCATTGCAAGGGGATGGGGACATCGGAACCGTCATTTGTCTTTTCTTGGCTACTGCAATGGCCACAAGTATAAATAAAGAACTTCGTTGTGGTGACTTGGACAAAACGGTTGATTTGTTCATTGATGAGATTAATCTATTTGGACAAAACGGTCGACTTCTTCACTGAAAGACACTATACAAAAAAATTATCTACCACATCCATCAAGTGGTCTACTTTTTTCGTCAAGCGGTCCACCTCTTTCAATACTTGATCCACCTTGACCAACATCGGGTCCAATAGAAGCAAGCCTACATGATGAACCATTCCTAGTGATATCACCATATATAATTAGAGTCCAATAACAATAGATCTGTTTTCTAGTAAGAGATTTAAAAGGAGTACAAGGTTGCAAGCATAGATGACAAGTTTCTCGAGTGATTGTTCTCACGTAGATTTGAAAAATGTTCCGCATATTTATTTCTTATATTTGACTTACTTTATAGAGATTTTCATCTTTACTTCAAATTCTAAGTTTTCTTGTTTTTATCTCATAGTTGTCTTGTGATGGATCAACTTTGTGGTTATTGTGGCTATGAAGATGCTCAAAATGTAGAGTAGATTTGTTATACAATTGTGTCATCTTCGACGCCCATAAATCGCATATCATCACCTTTGTGGTTTTTTATTCCAGAAGAGTTAAAAGAGGGCATTTCTTTTTGTCTTGGCATATAATCTGCGTAGGGATTTGGTCGCCCACAATTGATAGGATGTTGCGTTACTACAAAAGCAATTTTATATTGTTGATCTCCTATTGTCCATTATTATCCTAATGTAAGTATAAAGTAATTGTGTTATCTGGTCGACTGTTCGCCGAAAGTGGAGATAATTTGTCGAAAGAGATATATAAACCATATTGCGAAATCGTTAGGCTGTTTTAGAAGAAGCGGTCTACCTCCTCCAACAAGCAGTTGTAAGTTGAAGGTAAGTGTGTAACATGTCGACCCATTGCCAGAAGCGGTAGACCGACTGCCTCAAATGGTATACCACTTGGTGGAAGAGGTCGACCACTTAAGGTAATTGTCTCATCAGGTCAACCCAATTCCGAAGCGGTAGACTGATTGACTCAAGTGGTCGACCACTTGGTGGAAGAGGTCGACCAATTTCTTGAAAGTGGTCGACCACTTGGTGGAAGAGGTCGACCACTTGGAGGTAAGTGTATCATCAGTTCGACCCATTTCCGGAAGTGGTAGACTGGATGACTCAAGGGGTAGACCGCTTGGTGGAAGAGGTCGACCGCTTGAAGGTAAGTGTGTCATTAGGTCGACCCATTTCCGAAAGTGATAGACCGGATGACTCAAGTGGTAGACCACTTGGTGCAAGAGGTCGACCATTTTTTTGGAAAGTGGTCGACCACTTGATGGAAGAGGTCGACCGTTTTCTCCAAGTTACGGTGACTTGCAAGTCATCGTAGGCATACCCTCAAATAAAACATCAATATATGAGAATTAAATTTGGGCGTAAGATTAATTGACTTGTATTTTTTAACCTGAATTAAAAAAAAGTATATCTTTTTTTATCTACAAAATGATATCTTTTATTTACATATTTAGAGGAAAAGACTTCGTACAATCAGTGGCGTAGTTAGGAATTTGACTTATATTTTAAAAAATTAGTAACATAAAATTATTATTGTTGGACAATGGACTACGACATGTTTCACATTATCAAAAGCTTCTAAAATACATTCATCAGCCAACTATCAAGGATGATAGTCATCACTATCTAATTCCGAAGCATGTTCTTCACAAAGTTCATTGCAGAAAATACTACTTCAACACTAGCAGTAACGACATATAGCAACAACTATAATTTCAAAATTCAATACACCAGTGATCAATGACGCATTTTCATAATGGCCAACGTTAAAATAAAAAAAATATTTATAATTTTTAGTAATGATCAATGATGTTTTTTCATATTTTGAAAAGTATCTCGATTAAATTGTTCATCCGAACGATCAAGGATGTCGCTCTCCATATGCCCTCACTAAAAAAAATCGTGACTTCACCACTCGTCTGACGAGTAAATGTATTTGTCACGAAGTTCATTGCAGAAAATGTTCTTTCATCATTTACAATTACGACAGGTATCAACTACACCGACTTCATAAGTAGATACACTAATGGAAACACTCGATGATTTTTTTTACACAACCATTTCCCTAAAAATTCAACAAATCACTTTAATCGTGCAAACCTCTAATCTATCTTCATATCAAATATATAAGTGTTAAGTTAATGGTCAAGATATAAGATCACATTTAGAGAACTCATTAGTATAAAATGTAGCAAGTTATAACAACATTTTCTTATCAAAGCTAAATCATGGTTTTAAAATACGTAAAATTTTCTAGCCAGAGTTAATAAATGAATCTTCTCGATTTAAACATGTCACACAACGTAGGCAATTTTGTATTAGCCTCGTTGAAGAGACCATTAAGCACTTGTAACTACATATCCAAAATTATAAGGGCTAATACCAATAGGAAACCCGAACTATTAACTTTGTGTCATTTGTGTCCTAAAGTATTCGATATGACAATTGTGTCCCGAACTATTTTTCCGTTATGGTTGACTACCGTTGACTGTTAGTTTTTAACTGAAAATCTAGTCAGCGCTGATGTGGCATTCGACGTGGAATTTTATTATTTATTTTATCATAAAAATAAATAAACTAACAAAAAGAAATTTACAAAAAACAAAAAATTAATTATAAAAATACAAAATAAATAAATTTTCGTCTCCTCTAGTCAGCGCTGCTTCTTCGTCTCCTCTCCTCCTCACTTCTGCCGCCGTCCAAATCGTGCATCCCAGCTCCGTCCATATTCGTGCATCCCCAGCTCCAAATGAAAGAACTCCTCCAGATTCGTGCATCCCCAGCTCGTCTTTAGCAGCGGAGCAGAGGAGGGCGGGTTCCCCAGCTCCCGTTGAAGTCTCGTCGCCTCTGCAGATCCAATGAAACCAAATCCAACGAAAACCAGAAACCCAGACCAAATGACACCCAGAAACGGCGACATTGAAATTAGATTTGCAGTGACGATTCGGAACGAGCTCGGCTTTCCTACTCTTGCGATAATTTTTCGTCGGTTTCTCTCTGCGTAGCCGAGCCGATTGAAGGAATACGAGCTTTCCTCCGCCTTCTCGTCGGCGATTTGGAAGGGTTCGAGCTCCAACCTGGTTCGGTATCAAGGGGGCGACGGGGCTGAACACGAGCGCCGGGAAGTCGAGGATGCTGGGGGAGAGGATCTCGGGCTTCCGGGGCGAGAATCCGGATCCGGGTCCGGGCGGGGCGAGGAACGGGTTGAGCGGGTTGATCTTGAGATTCTTCAAGGAGTTCCGCCGCTCGTAGAGCTTGAACCCGGAGGGCTGGTTCCTCTTGGGGATCGATTTGATCGGCGAGATGGTGTGGGAATGGGATTTCACCTGGTGGTGGTGGTGGTCGGGTACGGGTTAGCAGATTCGGATCTGGCTATTGGATTTGGCCGGGGAGACGGCATCTGCTGCTGCGGCGGAGGAGGCGTCGACGGGAAGGGCTGCTGCTGCTGTTGCTACTGCTACTGCTGTTCGGAGAAGGAAGGAGGGAGTGCGGCGACGGGGCGTAATTCCGGTGGACACAAATTAAGTTTACATTTTCTTAATTTTTATAACAATATATTATTTTTTTAATTTTTTTTTAATTTTTAATTAAAAATATGAGGTGTCATTGACGTGGCATCTACGTGGCTGCCACGTCAACAAAAGTCAATTTTAATGTTGACTTCCGTTTGGTCAACCGTTATATATAACGGTCAACAAAATCGTCAGGACATAAATGACACAAAACTATAATAGGTTGGGACACAAATGTCGTATTGAATACTTTAAGACACAAATGACACAAAGTTAATAGTTCGGGTTTCCCAGTGGTATTAGCCCAAATTATAATACATAAACCATGCAGGGCATGTAACTTAGTGGTAGATATGATCGCCTTTTACAGGGTATCTTATTTGAATCTCTACTCCCAAGTAAACAATAGTAACATATTATTTTCGTATGTGTTTCAAATTTCAGGTGGTGCCTAGGACCTCCCTAGAATGCAAGTTGATCTGCCATTGGGTACGATCTAATACTACTCTGGTACCATCTTCGCTTTTAACTCAAAATTTCATAGTTCTTGCATAGAAGTTATTATCATTGTGATCTACAAATTTTCGGAGAAAAATTTCAGGATCAAATATACCACTTTGATATTGGGTGGTAGATGGCGGTGAAAGGTGGTTAGTATATTCTTATTGTCATTTACGCAACCATTATATACTATGATATATTCATACTACTATTATAGACTTTCATAACCATTGTATAATCTTATGTATTACTAAACATTACCACCATAATATAGGCTCAAAATATATGCCTCAATTTTTTCTGTTCCAAAATACATTACAGTGGATGTCATTTTGAAAAACACGATTGATTTGATTCTTATATTCATAAAATTCGAATTATAGCTTTGAATGTTTTTAAAAATTTTGGGTACCAAAAAGTAATTAAAAGTTTGGGTTGGATGGAAAAGTTAACGGATGCACATTTTGTTAACTTTAATGGTATCCGGCGCCCTATTCAAACTTAAGTAGTATGTCTACCCCAATTCTCAAATTTAAGTGGTACCAAGAGGTATTTTACCCTATTTAAGCACAATAGAAATGAAAAACATTGTAAAAAGAAAACAGAAACCCC